CTCCTGCCGTGCTGGCGCTCCCCCCGAGGCGGGCAGATACATGTTCGAGGTCCCGAGCGCCCCGGGGGGGCTGCGCGCGCCCGCCCGGCGGAGCCACGGGGGGTCATTGCTCCCGGCGCCCAACAGACGCGTAGTGGAGGGACTGGCTGCTCCTTCTCCTCCTCCTCCTCCTCCTCTCCTCCTTCTCCTCCTCTCCTCCTCCTCCTCCTCCTCCTCCTCCTCCTCCTCCTCCTTCTTCTCCTCCTCCTCCTCTCCTCCTCAGAGCGGGAACGTCAGGGGGCTAGCTGTTCCTCCGTCTCCTCCTCCTCCTCCTCCTCCCCCTCCTCCTCCTCGTCTCAGCCGCATCACAAGCATCATTTCTCCTCCTTCTCATCCTTTCTCCTCCTATGCGCGTCAGACCTGCTCTTTTTCGTCGCAGCACTCATTTGAGCCTCAGCATGATTCCTCATTACTACTGTCAGCCTTCTCTCCTCTCCTCCTGATTCCTCCTATCTCCTCCTCCGCCTCCTCCTCCTCTATATTTCTCCTCCTCATCATCCTCCTCCTCCTTTCTGCCTCATCCTCATCCTCCTCCTCCGCCTTCTCCTCATCACCTGCCACCCTATCCTCCTTCTCCTCTCCTCTTCTCTCCTCTCTCCTTCTCCATCCTCTCATCTCCTCCTCCCCCTCCTCCTCCTCCTCCTCCTCCTCCTCCTCATCATCATCATCATCATCCTCCTCATCCTCCTCATCCTCCTCCTCCTGGACGGTCCTACGGAGCACCGGAACGGCCCAAGACCGATTCAACAATTGCCGGGGAAGGGCCCGAGACTGCCAAGACGGCCCGGAGGCTGCCCATGGCCTCAAGACGGCGCGCGAGGATTGCCCAGGCGCCCCAAAAGGTTTTCAAGAGGACCCACGAGAGGGCTTGAGGAGGCAACAAAGACGCTGATATGCTGTCAATGTTTGAAATATTATGGGGTTCTGGCCTTTTCGGGCAAACAGCGGCCCAAGACGGCTCTCATCGCAACAGGACGGCCCAAGAAGCACCCCCAAACACCTGTGGGCGGCCAAAGGGTGTCCGTAGACGGCCCCAGAGGGCCCCAAGACCGCCCAAGAGGGAACCAACACGACCCGAGAGGGCCCCACAAGGCCCCCAAGGGGGCCTCCAGAAATGCCCCAAGACGGCCAAAGCCTGGCAAGACAGCCCAGAAGGGCCCCGGGACGGCTCAAGAGGGCTGGGCCCCAAGAGGACCCCCACGAAGGCCCAGAGAGACCAAACAAACACATGGATTTTCGGGGCCCCGAGGAGGCTTGCCAGAGGCCTCCAAGTACACTTGCTCGGGTGTTCGGATGAGGTGTTCGGGTTTTATTTTTTTGGAATTATGGTGGTCATGTTTGGGTGTCAGGGATGTCTGGGTCAGAGAGCTCGGGCTGGGGTGTGGGGGCTTCGGTGGTTGAGTTCGGGTTGGGATGTCAGGATTAATGTGTATGCTACGGTGTTAGGGTTCCGACGCTCAGGTTGGGATTTTCGGACACACGAGGGCCCCAAAATGCCCCCCAAGAGGGCTCCGGATGTCAAAATTGATATTTCGTATAGTTTCAAGCAACATTTCAACGTGCTCGCTTTTGACAAAACGAGCGTGGCTCCGTAGGAGGCCCTAAAACGGCCCAAGAAGGCCTCCGGACTGCCCAAGAGGCTCTGCAAGACGCCTCAAGATGGCCCAAAGAAGAACAAACCGAATTTGCATGTTGAGCCCTGCCCCCAAAAATGGTCCTGGACACTGCTACGGAACCCCCAAGACGCCATCAAGGCCCCCAGAAGCCCCCAGGATGCCCCCATGACGCCATCGCAGCTCCCAAAACGCTCTTAAGAGCCCCCTCATGGAAGCTTGACAAGCGACCTCGTGAACCTCACAACCCCTACGAGACCCATGAC